GAAGGGACAGAAAAGAGGGGGAAGAAGAGAGAAGAATTGCGACACACAAAAGTTATCTCAACCCCTCTTTTCAATATTAATCACCGAAGAATGGAGAAATTTATTGGTGTCAATGTAAAATAAAGCATATTTATTTAAAATAATAATAATAAAATAAAAATACACCAGGAAATTTTGATACATTGTATATATATATATATTTATAATGTACAGTAAGTTGGTAATTTATGTGTATATAAATTTAAAACTAAAAAAAATATAAAAAATTATAAGGAAAATATATTATTATCTTTAAAATTTATTTTATGTTTCCATTTTAATAGCTTTTTCTTTCTGTTTTTAGTATTTAAAATAGCTTAATAGGTTATCATATAATTAATTAAATAGTTAAGTAAGTAGTTAATTAACTAAATAAGCCAGATAGTTAAATAGTTAAATAAGTAATTGAATGGCTAAATAAATAAATAAGCAATTAAATGAGTTAGTTAAGTGGTTAGATAAGTGGTTAATTAATTAAATGAATAGTTAAGTGGTTAGATAAGTAGTTTAATTAATTAAATAAGTAAGTATGTAAGTAGTTAAATACTTAAACAAGTAGTTAAGTAACTATTTAAATAAATAAACAGTTGAATAGTTAAATATGTAGAAAATTAATTAAATAAATAGTTACATACACATGATGTAGTGGGCATTTTGTTGATCCTTGGCTATTCTTTATGTAGATTAGGCCTCGATATAGCGAATAATTAGCTCAGTCCTTTGAGATTTCGTTACATCGAGAGTTAATTGTAGTTAAATAAGTAGCCTATTTTAATTTGGTATGTTTTTAGTGTATATTTGCATTGTTTTAGAATGATGCGACGCGAAGCGAAGCGATGCGATGCTACCCGACATCTTACGCCGCGACGCGCTATAAAACATGTTTTCAACTTTGAGACATTTTTACTGCATATTTTTTTGTATACAGTTTAAAATATATATTTTATGTAATACAAAATTTTAATTATATGTATATACATATATATACATTTTTTTAAACAAAAATATAGGATGAACGATACAATCGTCGCGACGTCGCCTGAATGACGCGTCATTACATTCATCGATATTTTCTACCATAAAAACTTTTTTAAATTTCTCTTGTGTAAACTTATTTATATCATTTATGACGTAATTTTCTTTGCTGTGTAAATATTTCCAGATTGTGTTTCTTAGTTTTTTTTTATTCTTGTATACGAAGCATGACGCGTTGCATCGCGTCGCATCGCGTATAAAGTCGCGTGCTTGTTTAAACGGTTTCCTTTTTACTTTAAGTTTAATAATCTTATTTTTACAAAAATTAATCAAATATTAATTAAATTTTTAATGTTTATTGAATAAAATATTAAAATGAAAAAGAATTTTAAATAATAATAATAATAATTTAATTAAAACCGTACTCAATAGATGGCAGCATATTTTTTGAAAACTTTTTTAAAATATTTGCTTAAAGTATTAATTTATAAATTATATTCTCAAAAATAATATTAATATTTTATAAAATATTAAGTAAAAGTTATTTATAAATAAAATATTTTAGACACGTTTTCTTATATTTAAAATTATCTAAAAATAGCAGTATTATTTATATTAATAAAGATATAGAACACGAGTACGGCAATGGCGGAAGTGACGCAACTTAACACGTGATAAACGGTCCAATAGAAGTTAGACTTGAGAATTTTTTGAATATTTTTTACATACGTCACATTACACGTGTATTTTAATTGTTTTAACATTATTAAACGTGAATAAATTAGTTAATAATGAATTAATACCGTAAAGTATGCAAATATAACTAATGTTGTTTACGAACCCGGAGCCTACTACAATATTTTATAATCTCAAATGATTCTAATCGATTTTTAATTCGGATTAACAATTAATCCAACGAATTTTTATTCGTATTTTAAACGATAATACGTCATTAATCTAATTAAGGAATCCATTTTCTTTTGTTTTTCCTCTAAGGAGGTTACTGTACTTGAACCCGAATCGTGTTGAATAAAAGAAATTAACTTTAAACTTATCTGTTAAGCCACTTTAGTCATTTAATCCAATTACTTCTGCGATAACATCCTTTTTTTTTTTACTTCCCCGGTACTCGAACCCGGCATCTTTCATTAACGATCGTTGTTAATCCGGTGTTAATCGCCGACTACTACTCAACCGGGCTCGAACCCGTATCGTATGTAATCTTACAGTTAGATACTCAGGTATGTCGTAAACACAGGGGTTAAGAAACGTCACACCGACTGGAAGAAGGGACGACATGTTTATGCTTTATCAAAGTCATTTTTAAATGCGAAATCATACGTCACAACAGAAAGGAGACGTCTTATATCAAAAGAAGAGTACAATCATTCAAAAAAAAAAAAAAAATTTTTTTTGCACGTTGAATGTTCGCCGGTTGCAGGTCAAACATCACGAGCCTCTGATCCCGGAGAGTGTGTGCGACTTGACAGGTTTCACTTTGACGTGTCCGGTCGTTCCAGTACAGAATGATTTACAACCATACTGACAACCGGCTGATAACGACGTAGACAAATAAATAGGACCCGCTGGCAGACAGACGGACCGACCAGTAACACTATCTGACGTCCTACCGCCTGTCACTTCACTTCATCCTCGCTATCTGAAGGACGTGAGACCGTCGAATCAACTACACTTTTGAAAGCTGGAGAAGGTCCCCTATAAATCACTGTACGGTATGTTACGTCATCGACGAGCTTTACTCAACTCCTCCATCTTTTTTTTTTTAGCGCCCTGTACGGAGAAATCGTGACTCAAAATATATACACAAAAGTCTTGTAAGTCTGAGGGTTTAATAATATCTAGATTGCTTGTGATATTTAGCATGTGTAGCACGTTGCAATTACTCGAGGTTAAACATGCATGAAAATAGAATTGTTACAATACGCTTGGACAACCCGACCTCTCCCAGTGTCCTCCAAGTTAAAACAAAGACTCATCCATCATACGAGCCTCGTTAAAACAATCACTCCATCACCTGGTAGCATTAAAATTCAGTAAAACGATGATAAAGGTCCCGGGATATCCGCTCTGTTTCTATCACCCTCTCAACCCCTGGGTTACACATAAACACACAGACACAGATGATGTAAAAATATCTAGGGCATTAACCCTCGACATGCAACCTATCTAACCCGTGTTCGGGTGCATCTATACGATGCACGTATCGTTTGATTTAGTGTTGCGGACACAAATGACCCCGTCCCATAGTAGTTCTGACGCCAATTCACCGATACAGGTACAGAAACATTGCGTGTGTGTGCGTCTGTACCAACTGGTCCTAGTCCCACGCACGTATGCCTCTCCAATCTACCTCTATAATTTGATGGACGTGACACCGGCTATTTATCTTGCAGCACAATATCGATCCATTCAATTGTTTGCTATTCAAAAAATTCTTCCTCTTCTTCATTCGAGGATGGCCTCTGTATGTATATTTACACAATATAAAACTGATTTTGACGACAATTAAACGAGTTACCCGTTGATTGATCTTGTAAATTAAAGCTTGTTTCCGGTGTTTTTACGTGTTTAAAATATAACACGTGAAAGATAATAAATCGCTTGGATTCCCAAGTATTCTTATTTATTAATTCCCTTGTGTTGCAAAGTTTATACTTGAATGTGACGTCACGTTTCGTTACCGCGAGGTTACAGACCTTCAACGATGTAAACGGATACCTAGAAAAGTAAAGAAAGAATGGGCAATGGGGGAATAAAAAAATTGGGTCTGTGAAGAAGCCGACGGAGGTGGAGACGACAATAAACTTAACAACTGTCCCCGAGTTGGGGTAGGAGGGGAAATGACAGACGGACCCCTCACCTGTCGCCTCGGGGGACATCTATCTATTGTTCCGAGTGTCGGCATAGAGATGTCACTAGTCTTGTCTCCAATCATCGTCTGTGATTGATAAGCGCCGACCTCTGTTGACGCTACTTCTCTTTGATCCTGTCCGACTCGGTAGGGGTGTCGGGAGCATATTCTGTCGCAACTAACAACACGTGTAATGATGGTCCCCCGGGGGATACGCTCCTCCCCTTCTTCTCAAATGGAAGGCTTTAGTCCTCTGTTAGAACCGATGACCGCAAAGATTCGTTGCTTTTAAGAGGGCTTTGTTAAAGGAACCGTGCGAAACTTATTCTGTAATTGCTCCAGTTCTTTCGTTGAAGAGTGCTTTCTCTAGATGCCATTTTTCAACAATCGCTGTCGGATCTCCATCCTTCTTCCCCCCCTTTCTCTTTCTTTCTCCATATGACATATGTCCGATTCTTATCCCCCTTATGGCATCTCTCCCCGACCCTGTTTTTCCCTTATGTTTATCTCTCCTCTTCCCGTATGACATATGGCCGATCCTGCTCATTACGCCATTTTCTTTGATCCCTTGCCCCATATAACATACATTTGATCCATATCGCCCCCTCGTTTTACCATTGCAGCGTATCCCTCCCGTTACACCTCACTTACGACCGAACCGCGCCGGGGATGAGATCAAAAAATTCCGAAATTCACTCCACTTCCTCCTACCAGATGGCACTACGCGAACGCACTCGGACTGGCGCGCGCAAGTACGCAGCCCAACTTTTAATAAAAGTCACCTTCGCGACACATCCCGAAATTCCCGGGGAAAAAAATAAACTCTAAATTCCCGATATTATTTTAAGGGATTCGTAGGAGGTTAAGGAGGGGGGGAGGTTGAACCCTACCCGGAGGTACCCCACTTACCGAGGCGCAACCCTAGCATCACGGGTGGCGTGATGCGCTAAGTTGTATTTCCTACTTCACTCAATTTGAAGTATTATTCATCTAAGGGGGTGCGGTGGCTACGCAGGCTCTGACAACAAAAGCTGACATAAATCAACCTTGATTGGCACTTGTGACAGGTGTGTGATAGATGGCGCTGTAAACCATGACGGCTGGCGGCTTGCCAAGTCATTAGTACATCCCATCATCTCATTGGACAGGATCGTCACTGACAACCTCGTCCAAATTAACGACCGGATAAGCACGTGACGCCCGGCCACCAATAGACGATTCAGACGTTGCGAAGGAGGTGGTGTCCTATTGGTCCGTCCCGGATACGACCCTGTGCTGTATATCGGTTGTTGTGAAGCATTCAGTCGGGAGCTGCTGAACAGTGTGGTTTGGTTGTCTAGCTGTGGACAGTGTGCACGATCCCGTCGTCGACGACGGACATTCTCACTTTAAGGATTATTAGGGTGTGTTATGAACATGTTGACGTCTAGCAACCAATATCTACGTCCGGAGTACCTATCGCCTCTACCTACCACGGTAAGTCCTCCCCCCCCTCTATCCACTTTGATATATGACACCGATTCGTCGGGTATTGTGTGACAAACTGTTCGGTATAAATCGCTAATTTCTCACTCCTCCGCGCGGCACCCCACGTGCCGGAGCGCCACCTAGCGGTGGAAACTTTTGCATGGCGTGATTTTTCCTTTCGAAGACGATAACCGAATGGGCCCCGTCGGTGTCTGAAGAACGCTCTGGTGAATCTATCGAGCACGTGCCACACACACACTGTCAACAGTCACCTATGCGAAGTGGCTGACGAGAAGGAACACCCACACACACACACACACACACACACATGTTGCTTCCATGGTTTACTTCCATTATTCCGCCGGCGACAATTTGTCTGAAGCAAGGGCTGCGGGGTGTCTGAGATTCCTTTGTGGTGGCCGCTGCCCACAATTTTGGTCAGTTATTCATCCGGCACCGCTCTCTAATTTAGAAAGTGGATGGCGCCGAAATGGTCCTTTCTTCACAAATATTTTTCTCTTCTTAGAACTTAACACTTAGTTTTTCTACCCCGCGTTATGGCTCCCCCCCCAACGAAATTATTTAGGGGGAGGAGGAGGTGAAGAGGAGGAGGAGGAAGAGGGGAGGGGGAAAAAAAAAGTCGTTAACCTCATCGGGCCGTAAATCTGATAAAATAGGATCCGCCGAGTCGATTGTGCAGCTGCGTTTTAATTAGCTATTGTTAGCATCTGTCGGGGGAAATTTCTGGCCCAAAAATCAATTTATAGGGCCCTTAAAAAAATAAGGAAAGAAAGAAAGAAAAAAAAAACTTGAGTAACGTTTTGCATGTTGGTGAATATATGTCCTGTTAAGTGCGTCACGCCAGTTCGTTTCGATTGAATTGCACTTTTCCCATTCAATTGTTCTACTGAGCGTTATTCGTGAGCGTGACGTGACAGTATAAGTTATGGGGGGGAAATGCTAACACNGATAAACTATGCAACTTGACAGTTTTGATTGCCTCAGAAAGAAAAGAAAAAAAAAAACTAGTTAATTTATAGAAGTGCTAACTCTAAAATATTACGTCACCACCCGACATATTTATGATAGATCCGTGACGGAGGGGGCCCCCGGCTCCTCTTGACGTCCGTTTGATTAATTAGAGGGTTAACGAGATGTTTACTACAGTCACGACACCTGTCCACTTATCCTGACAGCTTCGTGGACCGATTTAATAAACCGGCCCTTTACTGCCCCCTCGACCGGTTTTATGAAGGCCTATAGGCCGATTTTCACTTTTGAATAACGTCGTGACCGATTTTGGTAAATATGACAAGCGAATGGAGTATGATTTTCCGGTTTTTAGAAGGGCCTACTCGATGGTTTAAATCCTTTCTTTAGTAGCATACATTTCGTTAATTTAAGCGATATTTTTTTAAATTATGAGGCCTCTTAAAATATATTTAATTGATGCATTTTATAATTTAACATGTTTAGAATTAATTTACAAAAGTGTAGGCCCTTTCGATTGTTTAAAAAGGGCCTAATCTGTGGCTTGAATCTACGTAGTAACGCTGGTATCTAGTTGTGTTTACTTTGTGAATTTAGACAACTTTTTTTTAAATAATTAAGGCCTTTTATGAATATTTTTAACAGTTATTTTTATAATTTAAAATGTGTAGAATTAAATTACACGTGATTAAATTACGCTCTTCGATTTTAAAGGGCCCACTCGATGATTCGAATTTCATACTAGCGCTCATCTCAAGTTATGTTTTTCGTGAATTTAGTTAAGGTTTTAAATTAATGGAGGCCTTTAAATATATTTAAAATAATCTTTTTTATAATTTAAATTATATAGAATTAAATTATAGATAATTAAGTTACAATAGAAGAGCCCTTACATTATTTAAAAGGGCCCACTTGATTGTTTAAATCTGTAGTTGACGTTATAAACATCTCATAAACTTAGACAACTTTATAAACAATAGGGCCTTTTAAAATATACGAAAGTCATTTTTATAAATTGAAGTTATAGAATTAAATTATATAAATGCCCTTCAAGTTTTTAAAGGGCCCACTCGATGATTTCAATCTTTATCGTAACGCGTAGAGTCGCAAGAACTTCATGAATTTTAACGAATTTTTTTAAAAATAAATAAGGCCCTTTATAAATATATTTAACGGTTATTTTTATAATATAAAACGTGTAGAATTAAATTACAGGTGTTGTTTTCATTCTCGCTTTCTTTAATGCTTGTTTTGGGGATCGTAAAAATGTCACCACTTCGTTAACGCCTTAGACAAGGTATCTTAAAGATATAATTAGGGGCCTTTTTCGTGACATAAATTTGCTTTTTACATCCTAAATTCTTTCATACAAGGCCTGTGATCGTCTTATTTGTACGACTTACATCCCTTTTCGTCTTTATACAGAGATAATCCCGTCCGTTGCCACACCCAAACTTAATATAAGGTTTAATCTATAAGCTTAAGGATCTTTCATCGTGTTTAAGGCCTTTCTGAGATGTGAAAATTCTCGTTTAGAATCTTTTCAGTTAGTTTTTTTCCTGTATTAAAGTGTTAGAATGCTCGTTTTCTTTTTCTTTTTTTTATGCCTGTAGGTATGAGCTAGGTAGAAGTTAATGCAATTCTACTAGTTCTAGACCCTTACTAAGAAAGTACTTTAGTTGGAATAGAGGGCCTACTCCATTATACTGCTAGCGTAACACTCTTAAGCTGATAACAAACGATTTTTTGGAGAGAATATTGCGCTTGTTTCACGTAATCCCTTCGTGACGGCTACGTGATAAATGGGCACATGTCACGAAAATCTGTAAAATGGTTTTTCCATCTAAGTGCGGAGCTCTCAGAAAAAGTGCATCCTCCTCTTCCCTCTTTTTTTTTCGAATAAGTTTAAATATATTATCTCTAGCTTAGCCTATGGGGGACATACCTATGGGCTCAGAATTAATGTAGTTGCAATATTAATATTTTTTTATGAGAGGGGAAACGTTTATAAATCAAAGCAATTTCAGTAAGTATACTCTGGGATGTTCCAGGATTATAAACTGATTTAATGAATTTATTTTATTTCTAACACTATATAAGGCCTTTAGGTATACTCGGGCATCATTTATATATCTTATTTTGCATTTTGATTGCGTTAAATAGGTCTTAATCGCTATTATTTATAAGAGTTTAGACGTTTATAAATGACTATTTTTAAGGGGTTTATATTGATTTTATTAATGAAAACTTATATGTATCGTTTCTTTAAGGAAAAAATATACCTAGTTAAACAAATCTCGCCCTATCATATGAATTTTACAGGATGTAATGCAAACAGTGAAGTAGTAGTAGTGGTAGCTGCAGTCAAACAAACCCTTCTGACATTTATTAAGCTTTATTAGCCTACCTTATACACAATCTGTAGAGGGGTTGTTTGCTTAAGGTAAACTTTGTCTTATCTATTGACATATTTACGATTCTCTCCCCCGTTTTTTTGAATATTCGCGAATACGTCTAGGAGGCCCCAAAGCGTAGAGGCCTATAAAAAATACGCAAGCAGACAAAAAGAGTATGACTTATCGCTTTCAACCCTCCCCCCACTTCTAAATCGAATCGAAATATCCTCAACCGATGGGGCCTAGAATGAACTTTTAAATTCACGTTAATCTGTTGATGAATGTAGATTTATCCCTCTTATCATTTTTAACTGGATTGCGTTAATTAAACGATGGTTGCTGTTAATGGGGCGTATTCAATGGCCCCACGAAATGAGGAATTAATTCATTTCCTCGCGAATAGGATAATTAACAAACTGTGATTGTCTCCTTAAGTGGACTGCTGATCGGGACCACTTGTGGCCATTTTCGAGTGAGTTTAATATGAAGATGTGGGGGTGCTAAATAGTTTGGTGCCATTTGGTATCAAAAAATCGACAGTTAAAGGTCGTGATTCGTGCTGCAGGAGGAGTAAGGATTAGTGTGTTAATCTTGGAACTTTTCTCTCCCTAATTTAATACCCTACTTATAAAAAAAAAGGTTGGAAAATCTTAACGAAGCTTCTTACCACCCCTTTTGAGATATGACCTTAATTTTTGGAATATTTTCTTATTTGTTTGTCGCTGCCCCGAGTAACCTTTTGTAATTTTTTTCTTTCCAGCTGGATGCAAAGAAGAGTCCTTTGGCCCTCCTAGCCCAGACTTGTAGCAACATCGGTGCGGACAATCCGAACAATAAACCCATCATTCCACCCCTGGAAAAGAGTAAAGATGGCGAAAAGAATAAGGACAAAGGCTCATCAGACGATAAGCCAGCATTTAAACCCTACGAATCTTCCAAAAAAGATGAGAGCAATAGCGACAGCAACGATAAAAAGACTCCCATGTCCAAAACGAGTACACCCATAGCGGGAAGTTGTTCACCCGCTGGTGGAAGTAATGCTTCTTGTGGTAAGGCCTCACCCTCTGGTTCTGATACCGGAAGTACGAATGTTAAATCGGAAACGGCAACAACAACTTCGAGCAGCTCTGTAAATTCTAGTATGCCGCTCAGCAACGTCACTTCAGCTAGTCAGAACACTTTGAGTGGTCTCGGGTATGGTTCAGCAGCGGCACTCAGCTTGGACCTGGCTAGAACGGATAGTGTTAAAGATGGCTTATCTTCTATGTCTCATCTGGCATTGGGTGCTTACAAAACGGGACTGAACCCTTTAACAAGTTGCACGGGTTGTGCCACCGTCGGAGGACATATATCTCTAGATGGTAGCCACGGTTTTCCACCCGGTTTGGGCCAGAATGGCACATTAAAACCGGGTAATTATCCACTGGGATCTGCGCTCTCACCTTACGTTGGTTACGCACGGGTGAAGACAGCCAGCGGAGGTACAACACTGGTGCCTGTTTGCAGAGATCCCTATTGTACTAATTGCCAACTGAGCATGCAAAGCGCTCAACTGTCCACGTGTCCGAGCGGATGCACCCAATGCACCCACGAAAGAATGACGTCACCGTTGAGTGCAGCAGCCGTAGCGGCCGCAGCGGGGTTACCGGGACTAACCCCAGGTCTAGTACCGGGCCTAGCAGGTTCCGGTTCACCCGCTGTATCGGGTGCCGCCGTACCTGGACTTAATTCTCATTTCTACACTCACTCCATGCTACCCAGGCCTAATGTGTGCAGCTGGATGGTTGGAGACACCTATTGTGGGAAGAGGTTCACCACTTCGGAGGAACTCCTACAACATCTGAGGACCCATACGAATTTATCAGCCGGGGAGGGATCGTTGTCGCTGATATCACCTTCTTTAAGTATGCCTTCAGCGGTGGGCCTAGGGGCATGCCATTTGCATTACAGCACCGCCACCTCGCTCACCAGTCCTGCTGGACTTCGCAGGACATATCCAACAAGTTTAAGCCCCGTTTCGAGCCTATCGGCCGCCAGTAGGTATCATCCCTACAAGCCACCTCTACCTACCCTACCGGGTGCACCGCTTCCACCTTTACCTCATCCTGGACTCGGAATGTACTATTCACCATACAGCATCTACGGACAGAGGCTAGGACCACCTGTGCATCCCTGATAGATCCTTCTAGGACGTAAGTCCGGCTCAGTTTAACACAAAAAAAAAACACCAAAGCCTTGTGTACATAAAGAACTTCCACTTTCTTGCTTTACTGCTTCCTTTCGTGTATTGTATAGTGAACTGTAAAATAAGGAACTTATTTTGTTTTTTGTGTATGTATCGACGATCTAGACAGATATAAAAAAAAAAAGGCAATACACAAAAATTTACCCTTTTTCCTCCTCTTCGACTCAAGACAACCACGGGTGTACTTTATAAAAAAATAATAATGATTTTTGTGTATGAACCTCTTCCTTTGGGTGAAGCACAGGATGGACCGTCGACCCTCCAGATTGGGTGGAAACGTGTTAAAGTAACGTATAAACTATCAAATTTTCTTCCTTTTAGCTTATAGAACCTTCAAAAATAAATAAAAAAAAATTAATAATAATAACTGTGATACCCCCATAAGAGGGGGGCGAGATTCATTCTTTGTTTTTCTTAAGTTCTACCCTATTTTTTTTTTAACTATTAACTTTTTCTAGATTAAAATTTAAACTTTAGCGTAAGTTTAAATCTTATTCTTAGTCTTATATTAATCTGTAGAACCACCCAATTTTGGAAGGGGCCAAACGGTCTCCTTCTTGACAATCAAGTGAAGGTATGGTGGCGTCATTCAATACGGGAAAGGTAAAAACTCTGTTTTGAATGGCACTCGTGGTGGGGGATGTCTGTTTATGATAATGAAAAATCTGATTTTTTCTTCCTCACCGTGTTTCTCATCTAGTATTTCCTCCTAGATATAGGCTTCTATGAGAAATTATGTTTTGTTAAAATAAACGTTGCCATTTTAAAAATCGAATATTGTTTCAGTTGTCATTATGTTCTGTAAACGTTTACATTCCTCTTAACGCGTTTAGTTTCGTGTGGATAGTGCTCCTCTCCATCTTCTAAAGGGGTTCCTAGTCTTTCTACACCCCTTTTTTTCGTTACAGTGTCTTTATACAGTGGATTTTCTAGTGTTTGAAGAGTGTTTTCAATTAGGGATGATGTTTTCTGCTGACACTGTGGATGCAATTGATGATGTATGCTAATTTCTGGAGTGTTAAAAGATGCTTAAATAGGATCGTACACTTAGTAGTATATAGGGGTAAGATAAGCTTTGTTAAACTATATGAAATCACTCTCTAAATACAACTAATTTTTAGAGGTTAGCTAAAGTATGCTTCTTCACGATCTATAGTGTAGAAAATACTCGAGAATACACGAAAAAACCTCCCTTTTTATCCTCAGAAAATAGGTTAATTAGGTGGTAAAGTTGCTTTGTAGTAAATCTAGGTTAATTGAGTAACATAAGATTTAGTCAAGGTACACAGATAAAGTTTTGTATATGGGGTGTAGTTACGTAAGGTATTTCTGTATGGTGTTTAGAATTCAGGAAAGGGATGAGTAGAGTTTTAACATAGACGTAGATTATATAAAAGGTATTTATTATTTCGTAACAGGCAGACAAACAAGCTTTTAAATTTACGATCCCCCCTTCTCCATACTCCAGCCAATGAAGCGCATTTGGGCGGATACCAAACAAAAGAGAAATCGTTGTGGAGAAGAGATTAGATTAAAACGTGTTATCTGGTAGTCCATATTAGCCTCACCCAAAACTCTTTATCAAACGTTGTTAAAGCAAAGTTATCTTCTGATACACTCCTGCTTCTAATTATCGCAATAAAATTTCATTACTTGTAATGAAAGTCCTTTTTTTTTTAACTTTTGTGTTTTGGGGTTGAAAGGGAAGTAAAGTAGACACGTGATTTAGTTCCCTTTTGGGTCTAATTTGCTGGAAGTTGCTCTTTCTCTTCCCTCTCCTCTTACAGACAAATATACACACTGCGCTTCTTTGCGATGAGTGAAAGCAAATTAAATAGATGTTGTTGGGGTGTTCGGTCCATTCCCTCCCCCTTTCTGAAGTTCAAAATGGCGGTTTGTAAGGGCGACACGGTCGAGAAAATTATCATTAATATTTTTCTCTCCTAGAAGTGGAATTATCTTGCTACTTACTAACAAAGATTAAGTTAAAATGTTATGCTTAATGGATCGAGACTCTCATTTTTTTTTTTTAAGTGTTACTCTTTCTCTCTCTTTCTCTTCTCCCCTTTTCGTTGTTGCTTACTGTTTAAAAGGGTTGTTACTCTTCAATAAATCTGTTGTAGGAGTAGGAAAGCCTGTAGCCTTATCTAGCCTGTAGGATTAGCCTTATTAAACAGCTAATAATTTTCTTCGAAGTTTTGAGGCCTTCTTTTACCTAATTTTAAGATAAATTACACTTAATTAAATAGTTGAAATGCTTTTAAAGTCTTACAGGTAGACCTTTTACATTTAAAATCTCTCTCTTTTATTTGTTTAACTCTTTTAGATCGATGGATAATTATAATAATTTGAATATTTTTATAGGGCCTTCGTATATAAATTTTTATTATATTTAAATTCGGATATAGGGCCTTGACTATATTATATTTTATTCATTTAAGGCTCAGTAGATAAGCCTTAATTTTATAATTTAGTGTGGGAACCAGTAGGTAATACAACATTTTAGATCCTTTAAACACAAGTGTAGTGTTTTCTAATAAGTTATATTTCTTTAAGCTTTAAGGGCCTTTATATATAAACCTTTTCTTCCCTTAATTACAAGTGTAAGGATTGTAATTCCATCTTTCTCTACTAAACGTGAACTTTGGAGAGGCGTACTATACACAAGTATACGAGACACGGCAGGGATGACAAAAGCGATTTCCACACACACACAAACACCTCCCCAAAAAAAAAAATATATATATATATATATATACAAATTTCAAGCAGAAAGGTAAAAGCTAAGCAGACGGAAGTCACGTGACGGCGACAACTTCCGTCTCCTATCTGCACGTGACGAACGACATCCGACAGACCGGAAATGATAAATGGAGCCACAGTCGAGCGAAACACACAATTAGAGGAACCGATTAGTCAGGTCAGGAGGGGGGAGTGCAAATTGGTACGGGTCATACGCTCTGATATGGTTTGAATTTTAGTATTTTTTTTAAATAAATAAATAAAATTCGAATCAAAGTTTACGGGTATTGCGTGACAGATAGACAGACACTTTCGAAAGGAGAAGTAAAGCAGGAGTGAGAAAGTGAAATTTATTTAATATTTTTTTTTATAGAATTAAAACTTATAATTTTAATGAATTTTTTAAAGAGAAAAATTAGTTAATTTAACACATATTTTTATTGGTTTCTCTCTCTCTCTGCCTCTATCAATCCCTCATCTTTCTCTTCCTCTTCTTTATCACTTTAGAAACTTTCTTAGCTTCTTATCGATGATTATATTCATTGATTAATCATCGATATCGATTATTCATAAATTAATATTTGATACACCTTAACAATGAAGAATTCTTCTTCTTTTCTGCACAATTAAACTTTCCTCTTTTCAAAATTCATCCCCATTTTTACATAATTTTAACGATTTTTTGACTGTTTTTAAGATTGAAATGTATTGTAGGAAGATTTAAAAATCGATAAAAGTAAATTTTACTTATAAATTTGTTTTTTGTTTTAAGCCTTTTTAAACAGGCTAAATTATAAAAAAGATTTTTGATTGTAGCCTTTAAATAACTGGCGGTCAAAGGCTTTGCTTACTGATACGGAATAATTCGATAGAGCGAATTTTTGGCTTAAATTTATAATTATTTTGCCTTCTCGTTATCTTCGAGCCTTATTTAAAAGGCTAAATATTACAATTATTTTAATAAGAGTCTTAAATATGAGACTTAACTATCAGGAAACAGTGTTTACTGTAAAATTATTTGATAGTT